TGTACAACAGAACAAAACACTATCCAGTCCTGCGCCATCCTCACAATCCGTGCTATGTCTGAGCCCGTTGTTGCAGCCACTGTGTCAGTCCATCTCGTTGAGGGTCTTCCTTTTTTTCACTGACCCTCCACTTTACCAACCATGATGTTCTTCTGCAGGGACTGGTCCCTCCTGATAATGTGTCCAAAGAATGTGAGACAAAGTCTCACCGTCTTCACTTCCAAGGAGCATACTGGCTGTACTTCTTCCAAGACAGATTTGTTTGTTCTTCTGTCAGTCTATGGTCTACTCAATATTCTTCACCAACATCATAATTCAAAGGCATCAATTTTTCCTCAAGCCCGTTGCCATCGAGTCAATTCCGACTCATATTAACCCTATAGGACAGTGTAGAACTACCCCATAGGGTTTCCAAGCAGCAGCTGGTGGATTCGAACTGCTGACCTTTTGGTTAGCCACCAAACTCTTAACCGCTATGCCATCAGTGTTCCAATTCTTCTTTGGTCTTCCTTATTCATTGCCCAGCTTTTGCATGCATACAAGGTGATTGAAAACACCATGGCTTGGGTCAGGCGCGTCTTAGTCATTAAAGTGGCATCTTTGCTTTTTAACACTTTAGAGAGGTCTTTTGCAGCAGATTTGTCCAATGCAATATGTCATTTGATTTCTTGACTGCTGCTTCCATGGGCGTTGATTGTGGATCCAAGTGCTAAGTACAGTGAAACCTGTGAGAGCTGAAACTTGACGGGACTGCCCGGTTTTCCCCGGTCTCAAAAATTTTCCTGCCTATGACAGGGTGCAATCCTACCACTTTTCTATCTTTTGTTGTAAAGGAAAATACTTAAGTTTTCTTTCTCTGACAGGTTTCCCCCTTACGCACTTTCCGGCTTTTGCAGGTTTTACTGTATTATAATTCTCTCTGCTTCTAATGCATGCCTCTTGAATGCAAGAGTACCCTGAATCCCAAGATTCCAGACAGGACACAGGGATAGCAAGCCCACCACGTGGCCAGCGTTTGAGCCCCAGGGTGATTGACCATTCCTGCTGAAGATCAAAGACACCCACAAAGGGTGAGCCTCAGGGAATGTCCCCCCTCAGCCCAGCGTGCAGGTCTCCTTTTCATTTCCGAGTCATCGGAGCATGGCGCGAGCAGTTTATCCGTAGATGGCTGCGACCTGCCCCTGCACACCATCCCTGTGGCCACTGGCTTTCTGCTCTCCCCACTCCCGCCATGTCTGTATGTAAACATGACCACGGCGCACAGGGAACTGGCAGAAAGGAAGGGACAGAGCTTATAGAGAATAGAGAAAAAAGAAAGAGGGGGAATAAGCATTGTTGGTAGCTAAAAGAATGATTTTGGTTATGGAAAAGGTAAATATAAAATTATTGGGAAGCTAAGTCCCAAAATGACAGGATAAAAGAGAACTCGGGTCTTCAGGTGGATTGGTTGTCCAGAGGGGCCTCTGTCTTGACCTTCTCTGTGACCTCAGGGTCTCTGGGATGAAATATTGGCTACGGGGAACATTTTCCATTAAGAGCCTTATTTTCTTTTTTTCTTCTCCTTCTGCTTTCCCTGACAGAGGACACCTTGGCCGTTAAATGAAGCCACTGTTTTACCTCAATGTACAGCAATAAAACACATTTGACTAGGAAGTCGTGTCCCTGGGTGCACTCAGGTAGTCCTGTGTCCAGCTGTTTCTGCATCTGGGCCCTGAAGTCAACCCCAAGCCAGTGAGTCAGATGGTGGAGAAGAACAGAGATGTCCTGTCTGTGTTTGTATGAGTTAGCTTATGCATTCGTCTACTCGTAAAAGTCAGAATCAACTCTATGGCAATGGGTTTGGGTTTGGTTTGGTTTAAGCAAGAAATTGTTTTTTTTTTTGCCTCATCTTAGCCCTGCCTATCTTTCAACACCCCCAGGAAAGATGGAGAATTACTTCTCCAAAGACCAGACTGAGTCATACAGAGTATTCTGATTGCTCTCCATTTTACATCCATCAGGACTGGCCATACTAAATGCAATATTTATGTTTTTATGGGCAAAGAGACATTTAAATATACTTTCAAATGCTGTTGTTGTCGGGTGCTGTCGAGTCAGTTCTGACTCATACCCACCCTACGCACAACAGAGCAGTAACACTGCGGGGTCCTCCGCCATCCTCACAATGGTTGCTATGCTTGAGCCCATTGTTGCAGCCGCTGTGTCAATACATCTCATTGAGCGTCTTCCTCTTTTCCTCTGACTCTCTTTCAAATACAGATGGATATTTTCAGTAAGTCCTCACAAACATACCCAGAGGCAATGTTCATAGTTTTTCACCCCTGTGATCAAATGCAGTTTGATGTCTCCGGGCGGACAACAGCTTAAAAAAGAAAGGACAGGGAGGTTCTTTCTCAGAGAGCGCGTCCTGGGCCCTATCAGTCCCTGAGTACATCTCTGAGTTGTAGCTGCACCTTCTGTCTTGTGGAATCATCTGGTGCTCTTGGACAGTGTTCCTAGGAGCCTGTTTCCTCTTTTTGGTGGAGGCCTGGCTGTGTGCTTTTTCCTAGCTCCTGCGCAGTGCTTCGTGGAGATCTTTGATCTAGGTTTCTGTCGGTGTGTGTTTGCTTGCTTTACCCTGTTATAATCAGCTCCTTAAGCAATTTGTTTCTCTGGCTATGCTCTTAGGAATCTTGTTTTATTTCTAGAATCATGGAATCCCTGGGTTGAAAGAATAGGCTCTTATTTAGCTAATAAGATTTTAAAATGAATTGCGTTTCAAGCGATCTTGTTGAATATTTAACCCAATCTCCTACCCCCTGGCTCCATGATCTAGAGGAGATTCTTCTTGATTAACGGTTACGCTTGCCCAGAGGAGCACGCCCAGTCTATGTCAATGTCTGGCACATGGTAAATTCTCAATAAATGTTTCTTTATTATTGTTTTGCATTTTGACTCAGTTTACCTTGGATTTATTTTCTATCTCATATTCCCTGATCTCTTCACAACTTTTCCATTGATCACAACAGAACAAAACACTGCCTGGTCCTGCTCCATCTTCACAACCTTTGCTATGTTTGAGCCCATTGTTGCAGCCACTGTGTCAATCCATCTCCTTGAGGGTCTTCCTCTTTTTCACTGACCCTCCACTCTGCCAAGCCTGATGTCCTTCTCCAGGGACTGGTCCCTCCTGATAACTTGCCCAAAGTACCTGAAATGAAGTCTGCCCATCCTCGCTTCTAAGGAGCATTCTGGCTGTACTTCCAGGACAGATTCGTTTGTTCTTCTGGCAGTGCATGGTATATTCAGTATACTTTGCTAACTTCATAATTCAAAGGCATTAATTCTTCTTCCATCTTCCTTATTAATTGTCTAGCTTTCGCATGCACGTGAGACTATTGAAAACATCATGGCTTGGGTCAAACATACCCTAGTCCTCAAAGTGGCATCTCTGTTTTTTAACACTTTAAAGAGGTCTTTTGCAGCAAATTTGCCCAACGCAATGTGTCATTTGATTCCTTGACTGCTGTTTTCATGGGTGTTGATTGTGGATCCAAGTAAAATGAAGTTCATTGAGTCATTCGAGAATCCTGACATTCTCGATTTCTGTGAAATACACATTGTCTTCCCTTAAAATATTTGAAATTCTTAAGACCGCAAGTGCATAGGCTAACAGAAAGCCCAGCTTCATGGCTCTTTTGTCTGTTATTCAACACTCTTGAAAAGAGGAGATTTAAAAAAGATTCCACTCACTGCCTCTGATCCCAGCTTTCTCTTGCTTCTCTATCCACAGGAGAGGCAAAGATAAGAAGATACTCCGACCTGACGCAGGCTGTCATTAGGAGCTGGGGCTTTGGAGCCAGGCTGCCTGGGCTAGCATGTCGTATTAACCACTTACTAACCTTGGCACTGAGGGTGGGATTATTAATCCATTTGTGCCTCAGTTTTCCTGTCTGTGGAGCACCTGCAGCGTGGGGTCATTGTCAGGGTAGGCGGGTGACAGCAAGTACAGCACTAACAACAGTGCCTGAGGTAGAAAAAACCAGTCACCCACCAGCTGCTGTTGGGTTGACTGACTCATGGTGCTCACATGTGTGTCAAGGTGGAACTGTGCTTCATAGGGTTTTCAATCACTGATGTTTTGGAAGTAGATCACTAGGCCTTTCTTCCAAGGTGTCACTGGGTGGACTCGAACCTCCAACCTTTTGGTTAGCAGCCAAGCTCTTAACCATTTGCAACTCTACCTGAGGGAGTGTCAGCAGTAACAGGTATCAGGGACGTGCAGTGTCTTGGCCCAGGAATAATGGGTACCCCTGCTGGCCTCACTCTGTAATAGGATTGTATAGCACGGTGAGTTAAACTCATGAGCCAGCGTAAGATGGAGCCTGACGCTGCCTGTGGGGTGTGACTGTGGGCAAGTTATTTATTTCTCTAAGCCTCAATGTCCTCACTTGTTAAATGGGACACACGGCAATGGTCTCTAAGATTGTGGAAGCTGTAAATGTGAGAATGCAGGAAAACGAGGAGATTGTGCCTGAACACAGCAGATAACATACTATGTTATCTCTTAGCAAACAGAAATTGTCCATGTAGGGAGCTGGCAGGAAGGAAGGGGCAGATGTCTCTTTAGTCCACTCAGTTTGAACTTCTTCTGGGAATTTCTTTGTCATTTACTTTCAATATGCATAGATAGCTCCTTGTGTTTTCATAAGCCAGATCCTTTTGTAACTCTACTTTCCTGAAACTTCTCCAACTTGCTTCTGTCTCAGCTTTCTCTCATGGGAGACATTTCAGTTATGACCTAGAGCATAGCTTGCAAGAGAACACAGCCTGATTTTAAACAGAGATAAACAATGACACTTTCTTGCTTCCTCACTGCTGTGAGTACTGTTCAAGAACACCTGACAGGCCAAGTAATTCTTGCTGATGGTGGCTCAGCACAAACTTCGGTATCTTAGGGTGTGTGCATGAGAGAAAGCCTGTGCCTGTGTGTGTGTGTGTGTGTGTGTGTGTGTGTGTGTGTGTGTGTGTTCGTGCACAGATACATTGGCCTCTCTCCTCCTGCACTTGACTTTCCTATAATGATGCACTTGCAACTGGACCCCTGGTTCTCATTCTGACTTTTCTCTAAATGGGTCTCCTCTTTGCTGTCTGCCCAAAGGTTTCCATCATCCCAATAAGCCACGCCCAGAGCCCAGCGCCCTACCCTTCCCCCTGGCTGTCTGACTTGGTCCCTTTTAACTGTCGGCAGGCACACCCGGCTCACCCACTTCTAGCTTCTGCTCTGTTGCACACACTGTTCTCTCCTTTCTTTTTCTCAACTTTTTCCAAGCCTCACACCCCTGCCCTCTCTAAGATATGATTCTCCTTAATGGCAGTGAGGTTTGGATATTGACTCCTTGCCCGTCTTGATCTCTTGTACCTTTTTTTCTTCTTTTCTTCTTATTATGGAGGAAGAACTGTTCCTCTCTTGGTCCCAAGGAATAACTTCCTCTTGCCTCTTCTGTTCCTCAATGATCTTCTCTCTTCAGCACCATCAATATTCCTTTTCTCACAGATTTCTTCCCACTGGTTTCCAAGCACAATCCAACTGACTCAACTCTACCATTCACTCTCACACCTCCCTTGCTCCTCCACCCTTCAACTTGTCAGACAGGATCTCTGCCTCTGCTTCTCTTGTTTCCTCTAATCCATGATATCAGGGCTTTGCTCCGTCTTCCTTTTGCTTGAACTTTTGGTGTCCTTTTAAATCCTGCTGCCAACAATTTTTAATCACTGTCTTCCCTTAACTTCCAAGGCATCATCCCATTTCCCCTCCTACCTCTAGGACTACCTTCTTCCTTTCTCAGGACATTCTGTCTCCTTTTGCCTAGAAGTGTGGATTTTCAGCAACTTCTGTTTCTGGATCTTTGTTCTTTTTCCTTCACTTGTTGCTTTGAAGATCTCATCCATTCCAAACATTTCAAGTCTTGTTGGTAGTTGCTGTCAAGTTGCCTCCGACCCGTGGTGACCTTATACGTAACAGAATGAAACATAGCCCTGTCCTGCACCATCTTCATGATCTTTTTATACATCTGAACCTGTTGTTGCAGCAATTGTGTCAAGCCATCTCACTGAGGGTTTCCCTCATTCTTGCTGACCTTCTACTTTACCAAACAATGGAGACATTACAGTGCTATAAACTTCCCTCTATGTACTGCTTTAGCTGCATCCCGCAAATTCTGATATTTTCTATTTTCATTCTTATTTATTTCAGAATACTTTCTAATTTCCCCCTTTGACTTCTTTTTTGACACATGGCTAATTTAGAGGTGTACATTGAGTTTCCAGATATTTGGAGATTTTCCAGTTATTCATTTCTAATTTAATTCCCCTGTGGAAAGAGAACATAATTTGTACTACTTAACTCTTTTGAAAGGAGCCCAGGTGGTGCCATGTTAAGTGCTTGCTTGCTAACCAAAAGGTCAGTGTTCACACCCACCAGCCACTCTGCAGGGGAAAGATGTGGCAAGAGAAAGACACGGTAAGAGTAAGAGGCGGCTGCCTGCTTCTACGAAGATTACAGCCTTGGTAAGTCTATGCACAGTTCTACTCTGTCATATAGGGTCATTGTGAGTTGGGATCGACTCGATGGCAATGGGTTTCATTTTTGAGTTTGGAAAATCTTCTAAAATATGTTAAGACTAGTTTTATAACGCAGAATGTGGTCTGTCTTGGTGCCTGTATATCCTGCTGTTGCTGAAAGGAGTGTTCTATAAATTTCAATTAGGTCAAATTGGTAGATAGCATTGTTCACATAGTCTATATTTGTATGGATTATCTGTCTACTTGTTACATTAATTATCGAGCATGAGGTGTTGGAATCTCCCACTATGATTGTGAATATGTCTATTTCTTCTTGCAGCTCTATAGGGTTTTGTTTTATACATTTTGAAGCTCTGTTATTAGATGTAAAATGTTATGTCTGCTCGATAAATGGAATCAACTCAATGGCAACTGGTTTTTTTTCTTTGTCATTATAAAATAACCCTCTTTATACTTAGTAATATTCTTTGCTCTGAAACTTTGTCTGATTTCCAGCTTTCATATAATTAGTGCCAAAAACCAAAAACCAAACCCATTGCTGTTGAGCCAATTCTGACTCACAGTGTCCCTACAGGACAGAGTGGAAGTGCCCCATAGGGTTTCCAAGGAGCGGCTGGTGGATTTGAACTGCTGATCCTTTGGTTAGCAGCTGAGGTCTTAACCACTTCGCCACCAGGGCTCCACATAGGCTTATATGTCTCTTCTCTCTGCTCTGCAGTGCCATCTCTAGGGGAAGGAGATGCACTGCCTGCTAAGCTTGGCGAGGTCCCTGAGCCAACACTGCTGATGGGCGGCTGCCAGTCAGATGTCAGATGACGACGTGGCTCCATTAAGAGCAAGAACAACTCTCTCCTCCCAGTAGTGCTGTCACCCTCGGCACACCCTCCCTGCACCCCTGTAGGACTGACCCAATAGAAATTCCAGGAGCAAAGAGGAGGGAGGGGAGAGCCAGAAAGAAAGGGAGAAAATGCACTGTGCGTGTGTATGTGAATGTGTAGTGCGCCTGGGCTCACTCCTTGCACCTGACGTGCGTCGATGTTATAGCGAGTCCTATGAACAAATCTGCAAAAACCGAGATTGAGCAACTGCAGACCGTCACTGGCCTCTTCGCTGGTTATAGCGACTTCTCACCGCACGTGCTGAGCGCTCACTGAGTGCACATTCGACACTTGGTTTATCATCTCGTAAGTGAACATTATGAGAGAATAAATGTAGGAAAGCAAATCGGACACACTCACAAACGCAGTGCCTGCAAATGCAAACCCCAAAACTGCTGCAGCCAAAACTCTGTCCACAGCGTCAGCTCTGCGTGACGTCACTGAAGCATCAGCAGCAACACCAGACACACTGCGTCACCAGGTCCTGCAGGAACGGGAAGGGTCAGAGTGCCCCGCTCGCCCCAGGCTCCCTCTCCTGGTAGACCACGCCTCCTGGCGCTCGGAGACACACAAACCACTGCATGTCGCACCTGCATCACGCAGTCGTTTTGAAAATGAATCCTCAGAAGACATCGTGGCGGAGGCAGAGCAGAGGAGGTTGGGGGTGGTTGGTGCTGGCTGTTCTCCTGGTGCCTGGGGGTCCTGCATCTCCTTAGGACAGAATGACGTCATCTCACCGCCTAGCAGATCCCTCCGCAGTTGTTAAGAACGGTGGCTGGCAGTGCATGCCTGGCCTCGGCCTCCCTCCCCCACCCCCCATCCCATTGTCCATCTTGCAGTCTCTGCTGAAGGTCCGGCTCCCCTGGAACTCAGACAGTGACACTGTAGGGTGTCTGTGGTAGCCAGGCGAAACGCCCCTTTTAGCCTTTTAATTCTTTTACTTGTGTGAAGTAGGAGCCCTGGTGGCACAGTGGTTAAGTGCTTGGCTGCTAACCAAAAGGCCAGCAGTTCAAATCCACCAGCAGGTCCTTGGAAACCCTGTGGGGCAGTTTTAACTCTGTCTTATACAGTCACTGTGAGTCAGAATAGACTGGTGGCAATGAGTTTGTGAGGTAAGTATTATAATCCTTCTTTTAATTTTACAGATGAGGAAACCGAGGGTCGCAGAAGCCAGCAAAGCAGAGCTATGATTAGAGCGCAGACCAATTCCCTGCCTCCCTCTCCTCTGCCTCCCTCTGGTGAGGCGGAGCAGGCGTGGGCTGCAGAGTGACTGGGACCTGTAAGCAGGGGGTCCTGTGGCCCATGACCCAAGTCTGCCCGCTGGGGACCAGAGGACGATGGAGGCTCAGTTGGCCAGGCTTGTCTGATGCCTTCATGACTCACCTCTCTGGGCTCTGCTCTGCGTCACCCTTCTGCTCCCAGAGGGAGGCCTGAGCCAGCTCCTAGCTTCAGAGACCCAATCCCTCTCATCACCGCCAGGACCAGCTCTCCCATGTCTGCAGAGGCTCCTGGTGGCCTCTCGGGGGCCCCAGAGAGCAGTCTCCTGTTCACAGGTGAAGTTTCCACTCTGGGACACCAGCACAGCGCAATCGCAGGAGAGATGATGCCGCTGGCGGGGCTGTCCCCAGGGCGAGGGTGAGTCACTGCACTCAGACAGACCTGCCTCAACCCCAGCTCCAGGGACCCGCTCCCCTCGCTCTGGGCTCTGGGCATCGGATCTCCCGGAGGGAAGGGCCGGCCACCTGGGGGACGAGGGGAGCTGACTCTAAGGCCACCCTCAACTATGTCCTGCTCCGTCCTTGCCCTTCTGCTGGGAACTTTCTTAGGTGGGTGTCCGCCTCCTCCTTGGCGAGACCCCCCCAAGCCCTCATCCTCTGCAGCCCGGGAACCAGGCCTTGCTGTGGTTGACTCAAGTGCCCCGCTCCACTGCCTGGGTGTGGGAGGGACTTCAGACTCAAGGCTGGTGACCTGTGGTGATCGCTGTCTCCTGGGGAGGTGTCTCCTCTAGGTGGTCCCCTTGCCCAGCGCCCGTCACCCCCGCAGGCCCAGGGCTGCCGGGACCCTCGGTCCGCAAGCCGGGCAGCCGGGTGAGCTCCGTGCCCTCTGAGTGGCGTTTCCCCCTGTCCGCAGACGTCGGCGCGCAGACCATTCTCCAGTGGCCGGTCGTCGAGGTGCGGCAGGTGGGCAGCTCTCTGTCCCTGCAATGCACCGTGACGGGGACCTCGAACCCCACCCTGTACTGGTACTGGCAGGCCACGGGCGGGGCCCCCCAGCTGCTCTTCTACTCCCTCGATATGGACAACATAAAGGGCGAGGCCCCCAAGCACTTCTCGGCGTTCCGGCCCCGGGACGGCCAGTTCACCCTGAACGCCGACAAGCTCCAGCCGGGAGACTCCGGCGTCTATCTCTGCGCCTGGGACGCACACTTGCGCAAGCCGGCCGCGCGGCCGCCCAAAAACCCACCTCGAGGCTCACACATCCCGCAGCGAGCGGCCTCGCTCCGAACTGCAGGGGGTGTCTGTGATCGGCTTTGACTCCGGTGGTGTGAGGGCCCCCGAATGGAGCCAGCTGAGAGAGATCTTGACCAGGTGCTCAGAGAGAAACTTGACCAGGTGCTCAGAGAGAAACTTGACCAGGTCCTCCGAGAGCACAGCCAGGCTTATGCACGCACAGTCAAGTCTCCAGTGGAGACGTCTAGTCCCTGCTAGAGTCACACTCCAGCCCGCAGAGCGTCTGCGCCTTGCCTACACGCCCTCCTCCCCCAAGTCCTGCCGGTCTACACTGGGTGGTGGGGGAGCCGGGAGCCCCTGCGGCAGGTGCGGAGCGGTGGGGATGAGGATGCAGACTCTACCTTATCGAGCTGGAGAGTCCCCTGCTTCGACTCTCGCTGAGGACAGCAGAAATTCTGCGCAGCCTTGGTTCCCGGGAAAGGCTGTCCTCGTGGGGCTCCAAGTGAAGTTTTGTTAGTGTCAGAGACACACATTCAGGCATTTTGATGATTGTTTGAGGGTTCAGGATTTGGTTTTACCTGCCCTACTGTCTCTCGCCCCTTCCCTTGTCGAGAGAGAGGGAGCAGAGAGGCAGATGGTGACAAAGGGACGGTGGGACCAAGGATAAAGAAGAGGGCACGTGTGTGGAACTGCAAAGGCCGAGGGAGGAGAAAGTGCTGGATGGGAAGGAGGGGGAAGAGACTCCTGTGGATGGCTGGGGAGGGGTCATGGTTGCCTTGGCAACCGAGCACCAGCTCCCCGCGCTGCCTCCGCCCCCTCCTTCCTCCCTAGTCCTTGTTCTTAAAAGGGTTTTATTTTCTAATGTTCCTCCCTGTCCAGCAGGGGGCACAAGCGGTCTTAAAATGCTCTCCGTTCCTTAATCTGGGACCACTGAGACACCTGTTTATTTCCGGTATCATTTACTCTGCAGAGAGAACTGAGGCATGAAGTGATCAAGAGGGTCTTCCTCAGGCCCAAAGGCCCTGCTGCACTTGGAGGATCAGCTACGCGTTAAACAGCTCTCACGTGCTGGGCGCGGTTCATTGAGGAGGAAAATGCTGCTTACTCCAGAAGGTGCTGTGCGCCATCCTCAGCGTGGTGGAGTCAAGCCACTTGGTTGTTACGGCCTTGGGCTAGTTATTGGATCTCTCTGGCCCTCATTTTCCTTGCCTAGAAAACGTCCTCGCTGGATTATGTGTATTAAATGAGATGATGTTTATGAAGTCCTACTTCAGGGTCTATGGAGCCTTGGTGGGCTTGGCTGCTAACTGAAAGGTCTGCCCCACCAGCCACTTCACAGGGCAAAGGTGTGGCAGTCTGCTTCCTTAAAGATGACAGCCTCGGAAGCCCGATGAGGCAGTTCGGCTTTGTCCTGTCGTTAAGTGCCGTCGAGTCAGTTCCAAGTCATAGCGACTTTATGTGCAACAGAACAAAACACTGCCCTGTCCTGCGCCATCCTCACAATTGTTATGCTTGAGCCCTTTGTTGCAGCCACTGTGTCAACCCATCTTGTTGAGGGTCTTCCTCTTTTTCACTGGCCCTCTACTTCACCAAGCATGATGTCCTTCTCCAGGGACTGATCTCTCCTGATAACACATCCAAAGTATGTGAGATGTGGTCTCGCCATCCTTGCTTCTAAGGAGCATTCTGGCTGTACTTGTCCTATCGGGTCGCTATGAGTTGGAATCGACTCAGCGGCCCCCACAATTCTAGGGTCTAATTTTCAATAGATATTATTTTCTTCCCTTTAAGCTTTCAACATATTCTGATTACAGCTTACCCAAACTAAAGAATTATTTAAAAAAATTTAAAATTATAAGCTGTGTAGTAAATATTAATAAATGCTAAATATACTTGATGACAAATTCATGAAACTTGTGCCCTACGTGTGTCCCTTGCACATACTGATAATCAATCGGTCTTTTGCAGCCTCAGAATCCTTCTTAACACAGAAGTGTTCCAGGCAATCTCTACTAGTCAACTGGATTTGGCAGGAGAGTCCAAACAGTTTTCATTCCTGTAAGATACTTTGAAAAGTTCTGGAAAATGTCACAAAGGAGATAGAACGTTATCTAGGTTTGGCTTTTTAGGAGACTAGTATTTAGATAATGCACTTAACTGCTAACCAAAATTGTTGGAGGTTGAGGCCACCCAGAGGCACCTTGGAAGAAAAGCTTGGCAATCTACTTCCAAAAACTCAGCCACTGAAAACCCTGTAGAGCACAGTTCTACTCTGACACTCATGGTGTCACTGTGAGGTTTGTTTTTAGATCAGCAAAATGGCATTGCTGGCAGGGGAGTCAGTTTGAGTGGAAATGTTGAGGGCTAAATGAGTGTTGTAAGGTCTGTAAACAGGGAGGAAAGCCCAGGCCCCCACACAGAGAGCTGGGCCAGTGGGGGCACTCACAGCTACAGAGAGGCTGGAATGCCATCTATACTCATCAGCACAAGTGGGTATCCCCCGTACGACCTGCCCCTCGTCACCCAGCAGAATCCTGTTTCCAGACAGCCTAGGACCCAGAAACCCACAGTCATCACAAATCCAGGGATGAAGGTCACCAGCTGGGGGTGGCAGATCCTGCTCCAATGTGTCATCTCTGGCCGGGAAGTTGGCATCTTGTTTGCCCCTTGGGCCCCTGGGGCCTGGTGCCCACACATGTGTAGACTTGGGGGCTGTGCCTTTTCTGGGAGAGCTGCTGGGCCCCCCATCTCAGCTCTGGTTCTGCATATGAAACAGACGACCTACCACCCACCCGCCCCCCAGGGCCCCCACATGTCCACGTGTGGAAGATCCAGGGCACAGGCAGGCAGCCCATGGAACCAACTGCCCTCACTTCTCCCCAACGGGTGCAGCCTCTCACGGGATTCACAGGGAGAGGCCGTGGGGTCCAGACAGCCTGAGGACGATGGGGAAACCATGGCTGGGAAGCTGGCAGTGCTGAAACCGGGTCCCATTGTGCGTTCGCCCAGGAGTATAAGGATTACAAGCGCTGGGCTGAGCTGATGCTGAGCAGCTAGGCCTTCTGCACCCCGTCACCCCCACCCCTCCCTGGGGTCCTGCCTCTCTGGGTGTCTGTTCCCTCCTGCATTTATTCTCTCCTCCCCTCTCCCAGATGTGACAGAAAGTGTCCCTGACCCAGGCAGAGGGGCAGCCAAGCGACCAGCAGGCGAGCACGGAGAAGCAGTGAGGTCAGCGCTGGGTGGGCTAGTGGACCCCTGATCTGACATCCTGGCCGCCCTGTTTTCAGCCTGGTGATGCTCTGGGGTTCCTTCCTGTGACTCAGGAGCTCCTCTCGTTATGAGTGGAAGGAAACGGGGACGTGTCCTGGGGGATGGGAGGGAGTGGGGGGCTGGTGCCCGAGTGATGTGGGACCCGAAGGCGCCCATCTGGGTCCCAGTGGTTAAGCAGCTGCCCTTCACCCTTCCTCTCTCCGCGGCGGTGCCCTCTGATCTCGGGGAGCACCTCCGGCAGGGGTCATATCAGGTATGGGGAGGGGCTGCAGGTGGGGCCAAGGCCCCTAACCCCCAGGGACCCTCTCCCCTCCCACTGAGGTTCTGTCTTCACCTCCGGGGTGCTGCTGGGGCCCCCGGGGAGAAAGAGCAGCGGGTGGAGGGGGCAGGAAGCGGTGGGTGGGCGGGGGGATGAGGGCTTCGCAAATGTCAGACCGCATCCTGTTGTGACTCCCTAGAGGGCAGGTGGCTGCAGTTAGAGGGAGCTGATGGTGTCACAGATAACAGCCGCAGCAAGGGTGCAGGCACCTCTTCCCTCCCCCAAGTCTCCTGCAACCAGGAGGCCCACCTGCATCTCCTCACGTGGTCCTGCCTTTGATGCAGGCCGCTCTTGTTCTGGGTACTGTTTTCCTCTCGTTCGTGGCCCTGGGCCTCCTTCATGGGAGTGGCACCAGGGCCGCTTGTTAAAGTGGGACTGGGGTCCGTGAGGCCCTCTGGGCCCTTGGCCTCCTCTGAGGCCAACTCATGGTCTTGCATAGTGTGGGGCTCTGTCACTGTGATGCTCTGGGTCCCTGGTTCTGAGGGCAGAGCTGGAAGGCTCCCGGGGGCCCATTTGCCGTAATCCTCTCACTCATCAGAGGAGGACATAGAGGGCGGAGAAGAAAAATGGGCTGCCCAGGGCCATACTTCAGGGACAGAGGAGGACCCAAAGCCAACTATCCGAGAGGCACCTGTGTTCCAGCAGCTCCAGGGTCTCAGAGCTTTGGGCTGTCATCTTGCCAAATCATGAATCATTTGTAGATACCGAGCTGTGATCTTGCTATGTATTTTATGACTCACTCGTATAAGGATAGAAAACCCGTTACCGTCAAGTCAATGCTGACTCATAGTGACCCTGTGGGACACGGTAGAACTGCCCCACAGGGTTTCCAAGGCTGTCATCTTTACGGAAACAGACTGCCACGTCTTTCTCCTGTGGAGCGGCTGGTGGGTTCAAACCTCTGGCCTTTCAGTTAGCAGCCAAGCACTTTAATCACTGTGCCTCCAGGTCTCCTTTATAAGGAAAAATAAGGCAAAGTTATCCTATCTGAGGTGGCATGAGGCTGGGCATAAATCATACAGCGACCCACAGAATTTGAATCCTGAGAAAAGCAGACAGAGTGGAGAGAGGAGCTGTGGACATACGGGAAACCTAACCAGCTTCCCGAGTGCCTGAGGAAGCAGAGACTTGCTCACGGCAGAACCTGTGAAAAGAGACCATGGTTTGGGTCAACAATGGTGTAATGTGGCTGCACAAAGTTAGAAGGTTGCCTGAATGGAACTGACATACAAGCCATTCAGAACCGGAGCTGAAAGTGCCTCTGTGCCCTGTGTAGCTCAGCAGCCACCTGGGGCTATGTTCTGCTCTGGACACCACACTTTAAGGGAGGTGGAAGGATACGGACATACTGAAATGACTTCAGGAGAGGATGGCTGGCCTGAGGAGCATAGGAACTGTTCAAAACTGGGCCATACGAGAAAAAAAACAAGAGAACTGGGAATGTTTAGCCTAAAAAAAACCCCTCAGACTGATAATAATTATTATTATAACATCCAATACTTACTGATGCTATACTATGAGCTTTACGTGGTGTGTGGATTAATAACACCAGACCACCTTATGAAGTCAGGCTGATGGTTTAGCCCATTTTACAGAAAGGAGAGCCGAGTCTCAGAGGTGGTCCCATAACTTTGCCCATGGTCACACATCTGGCAAGAGGCAGAACTAAGGCTGGAACCCGGGCCTCTGGTTCCAAAGTTCATTGTTTATCACAATGGCCCCATTGTCCATGACATAATTCTTCCATTCTGCAGACTAAAGCCTTTCAGCTTCTTCCTGTTCTGGCCCTCACTGTTTGTAAATTCCTACCTGAAGGTGGGCACTGACTGTCTTATGCAGACTCTTCCAGGAGTTCAGTTACCACCTACGAGGGAGGCTACAGTGAAGTTTATGGATTCTTAAAAAGGCCTGCACTCTTCACAGAGTGGCCAGGGATGAGGTGGCATGCCCAGCAGGTTCTCTGCCCCTGGGGAGTCCAGGCCTGGCTGGAAGGACCTCAGGAGTCTTCCTTTATGCTTCTGTAGTGCCCAGAGTGCCCATGATTCCAAAATCCAGGCAGGATCGAGCCCCACTGCAGGCTGAGGGTGCAGAGGGTAGGGTTTTGATTGTGGGGTGGCCTGGGCTTGAGGAGGAGGTGTCACCCCCAGGACCCTGTTGGGTCAACGAGGAGCCTGGTCTGCATGGGGTGGAGGCTGGGTCCATGGCAGCCCTGGAATGCAGCCCCCCATGAAGACCACTTTTCAGGCCTGAGAAGGACAGCTGAGATGCATTGCAGAGCAAGCTGATGACACCTCTCCGGAGATAGTGCCAGGTGGGGCTCCTTCTCAGGCCCTTGCTGCTCACTAATGCCATTCACTCAACTCTGGGGCTCTGTCTCCCCCAGGGCCTCCTGAGAGTCCAAGTGCTCATGAGGCAAGGATAGAGATGGAGAGGAAGACACAGAACTGGACTAGGGGCGCGGGCAGTGAGCAGAGAACATGCTGTCCGCTGAGGGGATGACCCAGGGCCAGACCAAGTACCATCACTTAAGTCTTAGGGAGAGGCAGAGAGGTAGGGTGTGCGAAGGAACCCAGAGACATCAGATCAGCAAACAAACAACTCAAGAAGAGAAAGGCTTCGAGTCAAGAGGGGAGGATACCCAACTGTAGACTGAGACTTTGTGCTTGGGCCCAGATGGGGCAGGCAAAGTCTACAATTAGAGGTCCCAAGGCCTAGAAAATCACCTTTCAGGAAACTCTGGGAGTCCACCACAAGTAATGACGATGGGCTGTAATTAAAGTTGTTGGCGGGCTTGGTGGCCTTCTTATTCTGAGTCAGGCATGGGGAGCGGGTGGAGTAACGTCCATGGACATGGCAAACATGCCCTTGGTGATGAAAGTTTAAGACGAGGTCAGTGGAGGAGCAGGGAACAGATTACTCATAGGCCAGGGGTGATGTTAAGAGTTGACTTGGGGTTTAGGCCACCCCATGATCTCTTGTTAAGGAAGACCCTCAACAAGATGGATTGACACAGTGGCTGCAACAACGGGCTCAAGCATAACAACAATTGTGAGGACGGCGTAGGACTGGGCAGTGTTTCGTTCTGTTGTGCATAGGGTCGCTATGAGTCAGAACCGACTCGACAGCACCTAACAACAACAACATGATCTCCACCAGCATCCCGCAGCATCGCTACATAAACAGACACGTACAGCTTCAAGAGAGGCTCCATGCCACAATCCTCCACTTCCTTGTCCATAACGACCATGTTGACCTCCCAGAGAGCAGTGAGGGGCTGAAGTTAGTCTGTTCCCCCCTCCCTGGGTCATGCAGAGGAGAACTGGGGAAAGGACACATCAGAATCCATTTCCCTGTCTCAAACTTTCTTGTTCTAAAGCCCCATGTTCTTTCTTCTCTCTCCAACTCTTCCTCAGTTTCTCAGACCGTCTTACACACTTCCTGAAGAGAGAAAGTTCTTTGCCCCTTAGACAGCCCAGCAGTCTCCCTGACTCCACTGCCAGCCTCCTGCAGTCCGGCAATGCCCATAGCAGGAGGAAGGGCGATAGGGCTCTGAGGGGTACTGGTGCTGACGTGAAGATTCTCCCAGGCAGGTGATAGTGACAGTGACCCCAGCAGCCCCGACCAGGAAGTTCCCGTTATTACATGGCCAGCTGGATGCTCCCTTCCCCTCTTCACTTCCATATGGATCTGTGAAGGGCACAGGGGGAGGGTCCTCTCCCAGCACTGCCCCGGGAGTCCCGCTGTGACTGGTGGGGCCTGGGGACGAGGCTATCTTCTAAGTTTTTCTAGGTCTCTGAGATAAGCTTGCTCTGTGCCTGCACTGTTTGCCCCTGCCTTGCCCTACGACTGCCCATGATTTCCTTGATGAGGTGAAGCTAGATCAGCCTTGGAGTTAGAACAAGTTGATGGCCCAGGGGGATGGGGACTATCTTTAGAGCCTCCCATTCCAGGTGTCTCTCTGCACCCAGAAACTCCCTCTGAGCCCCCTATCTGGAGTGGCTGTGTGTCTGGGTGTGCTGAGTATTCTGGGATATGTCCCCTTGTCCCGATTTCTGGACTGGTTAGCACCTCTTCTGCTCTTGGTTGTATCATACGCCCTTTGAGGACCTTAACGTGACCCATCTCTGCTCATGTTCACCAGAGGAGGGACGCATGGATGCCAGGCCTTGGTCCAGAAAGATACACTTGACTTCTGGAGCAAGAGGCCTAGGCCGAGAGATGACCTCCCAGTGTCTGTGAGCGAGTGCTGGGGCTGCATTGTTTGGGAGAGCTGAGAAGACAGCTGAAAAGATGTGGGGAGGGGCCCTCTCAGGGTCAGGCAGGCCAGGGGCGGGGACCAGAGGCAGTGGTAATGCTCTGGTCTCTGTCATCTCCCCTCCTTCCTCTGTCACCCCCCCCATAATCGCTCCCCCTTCAGATGAGAACTCCCCGTCCTCCTCACTGTTGCAAACCCAAGGAAGGGCACCGACCAGCAGCTCCTCCGCATCCCCCCACCACTGCTGCCCCTGCTCCCAGCACCCCAAGAAGATGGTCACCACATCCACCTCCCACTCTGTCCCTGCCTGACACCCCTGTGGGATACCCGCTCAGCAACCCCTCCCAGCCCTGCTCTCTCTGCCCTCCAGCACCCCTGTCCTGCCCCCCAGAGGCGCTTGCTGTCCCCTTAGCTGTCCATCCCCCGCATCCTTTCCAAGGCACCGCCCGCAAAGCCCCAACTCAGCGGCTCAGTTGTGCTCTGCCTATGCCTCAGCTCTGCAAGGCTAGGGAATTGGAGGTGCTCCTTTTGTGGGTGCTTGTCTAGGGCCCAACATCTGTCCCCTTGGCTTTGGGGCTTTTTTAGCCATCACTCCACAAGCAGATCAACAGCAGCAATGACAAATAAAAAGCTGTGCTACCGTCTGGGAAGTCTGGTGCAGATCTTACCGGGCCCCACGCTCGGCCTGACCCTTTGTGGGCTGAGTGCTGCGGTCAGGACCCTCACCTCGGACCCTGCACACGCAGGACTCAGAGCCTGTTCCGGCTGTCACTGCGGGTCCTGCCCGCAGCTGGGCCGGCTGCTGTAGGGTCACGTGGCACTGAGCAATCAGACTCAGGAAGGCTCACAGAGAACGAGCAGGAGAAGGAGCTTGGACTGTGCAGCCAGCTTCATGACTGACTGGTCATCTGCCCTGTAGATGGTCTCTTCCCCCAGAGCTTGCGTCCAGGATCCTGTGTGTTAGTGGGTCACATGCACTCCAGGCCTGGCTGGCTCTCCCAGCATGATGCCCTTTCTTACCTAACCTCCCTCCTCTACCACTTGACCACGGCCCCTCAAGGTCCCATTCCTTCTCCTCTCTGCAACCTTCTTCCTCTCCCCAGGGTCCCTGAAGTCGTGCTCCCCTCTCTCCGTAGCTTCTGACCACCACAAAAACTTGGTCCCCGCCCAGCAGATCCACATCCACGTGACACTGGGGATGCCTGGCCGTCCCGTGGAAGGAACCCCACTGCCCCCGCGTTACTTCTCCCCCAGGGCCTGATCCGCATGGCATGCCCCGGGGGATCCCTCCTGTCCAGACTTCACTTGTCTGTTTTCCCACCTCTGAGCCCTCCTTAGGAGTTCCTAGGTGGTGCGATGGTTAACATGCTCCACTACTGTCCTAAAGGTTGGTGGTTCAAATCTACCCAGAGGCGCCTTAGAAGAAAGTCCTGGTGATTTATTTGTTCTACTTTACAGACAGGGGATCCCCGTGGACGGGAGCTGATGGCAACTGGTTTAGGTTTATTTTGTGTGTGTGTGTTCTCACTCTGACTCAGACACAAGGAGAGCTCTGTGCTAGGTCCAGTCCTAAATGGTGAGCTGGAGGGGCGAGGTAGACGTGGGCACAACTAACTCCACCGTCAATGACGTTTCTGTCTGAGCTGGAGAGATGCCCAGGAGTTCTGAAGTGTGGGGCGCCTGTCTTGTCCTGTGCTGGGTGGGTGGGACTCACCTGTGTGTGCCCCCTTCCTTGTTAAGGGGCCTCCCAGCCCAGCTTCCCTCTAGACGAACCCTACCCCCTGGGGGCCTGGATGGCTGGGTCTGGTCCCTCGGGTCTGGGGCCCCCACTGGAAGCGATTCGAGGAGGCAGCATTGGCCAGAGGGCAGGCCCCATCACGGCCTGAGGATGGGGCATTCCCAACGCAGGAGGTGGTCAGAGGTTGGCAGCTCGCACAGAGTCCCCGGACACACGGCCAGGCTGCACACCATTTTTATTGGTTCATCTGGTTTGGATTCAGGGCTGGGAGCTGGATCTCTGGGAAGCAGAGATGGAGCAGGTGTCCGTGCAGGGAGGCGAGAGGGGAGAGAACTCTCGGGGAACACAGGGGTGACGGCGAAGAGACCCAGGTGAGGGTGCAAGGGATGAGCTTCTCTGGAGGCCAGTTTGGGTGGGTGCTTTCCGGCTCAGGAGTCCTTTTTCTTGGCCTGAAGAAAAGGCAGAGTCAGAGCCCTAGGGGCCGTGGGCAGGGGTGCAGCCAGGGACCCCCATTCTCTGATGGGGCTTCTGCTCCGATCACAGCCTGTCTCCCCGCCAGAAGCCCCATTGTCACTGCAGTGAAGGGCTGTCAGGGCTGGGGGCAGGCTCTGAGGTCCCTCTGTACCCACGTATGATTTTACCCCTCCCTCCAATAGTCCCCCCACCCGCCATCCCCCTTACCATGGCCATCAGCACGAGGGCACTGACCAGCACAGCGTACAGGGCCGCTTTCCCCAGCAGGACCTCGTAGAGGACAGTGGCCGACAGGACCCCCCTCTGGTAGGAAACTGGGCGGGGGGCAGCCTGTGAACAGGTGGCTCTGGCCCCCAACTCCACCCCAGTGTCCCCGGGTTCCCCAGGCACCGTCCAGCGCACAGACATGGGAGGCTGGGAGAGGGGCTCACTTACCCGAGGAGAGGCCACAGTCTGAAAGGGAAGGGGGGATGGCTGAGAGGCTGCCCTTTCCCAGGAGAACAAAGCCCGGCTGCCTGCAGGCCACCGATGCCCAGGCCACAGCACGGGCCAGCCCTGGCCGCCCTGTCCCTCCTGTCCTGCTCTCACCTGCACGGCCCCAGACCACGGCACTGACGTTCTGGGTGACGGGCTTGGGCCGGGTCTCGCTCCACTCGTCGTCGGCCGAGAGCCCGTAGAACTGGACCTGGCAGCGGAAGTGGTTGCGGGGATTGTGCCAGAAGGCGGCCGACACTCTCAGGCGGCTGCTCAGGCAGTAGCTGGAGTTATCGGCGCTGGGCTCCAGCCGCGGCTCGGGGTCCGTGCTGACCCCGCTGAGGGCCATCTTGCCATTCACCCACCAGCTCAGCTCCACGTGGTCGGGGTAGAAGCCGGTGGCCAGGCACACGAGCGTGGCCTTCTGGGTTCGGGAGATCTCGACCTCTGAGGGCTCAAACACGGCCACCTTGGGCGGGTTCACCTTGGTCAGGTTGTCTGCAGGGGGAGGGGCAGGGCTGCTCAGCGAGCGGTGTGGGCTCTGGGGCAGGCAGAGGCCGCGTGTGTGTGCACGTGTGCGTGTGTGTGTGTAAGTGTGTGTATGTATCGCGTGTGTGCATTGTGCTGGTCTGTGGTGTGTGTGTGTGTGTATGAATGCGTGTTAGCGTCTGTGTGTTTGTGTGTGTAGGTGTGTCTGAATGTGTGTTTATGTGTTAATGTCTGTGTATATTTGTGTGTGTGTGTGTGCGTGTGTGTGTGTGTGTGTGAGGGGTGGGGTAGGGGTCACATCACAGCGCAGTGATGAGCAGTACCTCTGTCCTGGGAGCCTGTCACGTCCTTGCCCTCCCTCATCCTCGCCCATCCTGTTCACAGAGCCCACAGACACGCTCTGTCCACCTCCACAGCTCCCCAAGGTGCTGCATGCCCAGCTCTGCCCTCAGGGACCCCTGCCTGTCCTCAGCTCACACAGGTGGTGACCCCCCGTCTCAAACTCAGGGATTCTACAACCTTCTTTGTCCCTCTGTCCCCTAACATTGCACTTTCCCTCCCAGCAAGCTTCCCAAGGAAGCACCAGAGCTCACCAGACACATTAGCTGCCTGTCTGGACACAGCTTTCATCCAGACGTCCCCTTTTTGGATGCCCTCGAGTCCACACCCACAGAACCTCCTATCTTGGCCAATTCCCTTCCTTGGGGCCTGCTCTCCATCCAGTCCATCCTTTGCTTTGTATCTATTTTCTGTTTCTGAGCTATTCTATTACAATGAAGAGATCTCATCCTTATGAGCACCCAGTGTGACCTGGAACATGGGACAATGCTGTTCTAAGGGAAGTTCACATTTCTATGGGTGTGACCTCGTCCAGGGCCAGCTTAGTGGGTGTGTGACCCCTGCAGTCCCCACAGGACCAATCTTAGAGGGCCCACACTTGGTTCCAAGCTCCCTGCTGCCATCTTGGATTTCTTGGTAATGTTGTAATGAGGCCTCCACATGTTCATTGTGAGCTGGGACTGCACACTTTGGCTGGTCCTGCCTCCTCTCATGGCAGCCCCCTCTCTGCCCTGCTAACTGCTACTGTGCCTGCTGGCTGGCCCTGGACCAAGGATGCAGTCTACCTCCATCTGTAGTCGATGGATCCATCTTTCTTTCTGCTCCCAGCCTAGTCATTGCACTCTGGACTCAAGGACCTGGCTCTGGAACCCCAGCTTTACAGGGCCACCATGGAACCTGCTCCCTCAACCCCTCTCCTGGCACACACTCAGTCCTTGTTGTAAAAATGAAAGATGTCCTGGCCTCCAAGTGCTTCTTCCCTGGATGCTTACTGATAAGCCTGGTGGGACAAACAGAGGCAGGAGCCCCACCGTACCATGAAGTCCTGTCTGCTCCTCAGTTACCCTTCCACTTTTGGGTGTCCCTCTGGGGCTGGGGGCCTGACTCTGTGGGCAGAGCTGTGGACACCAGCCGGCTCCTGCTGTATGTGCCTTGCTTCAGCTGGACTATACCCAGGCAACATTGAGAAGTTTTTCTTTCCCCTCCCAGCCTACCTCTCTCACACAGTCTTCCCTTCCATTTTTTCTCCATTTTCCAAATCCTGCCCGACTTTGGCACTGGGGTCCCCATCCCCACCCCCAGTGACCATGCTGCAGTGGGTGGGGCAGGGAAGTACCCAGCTACAACAATCCACCAGTCACTGGACCTGCCACGTGCAGTAGACAGGACACTGTAATCCCCACAGCGATAGTAAGTGGGAATGCTGTTAATTATATTTCATAGTCGAGAGGATTGGAGCTCACACAGATTAATTTGTGCGAGGTCACTGAGCATGGAAGAGCAAGGGTAGGGACCCAGGTTTGTTTGATTGCAAAGTCCCAGCGGGTCTCAGAGCCCAGCATCACCCTGCACTGGCCCACGGTGCTGCAGCTCAGCCTGCTGCATCCATTTTAGGGACCAGCTCCCACAGGGGCCGGGGTTGTTCCGTGGTTGTCACCAAGGCCCTATCTCGGTGCTGTGATCAGGGAGTTAAGTCTCTCCTCCGGCCAACATCTTCATCACAGGTGATGTCTGAGCCCCGTCCCAGCTCTAACCCTCTAATACCCTCCTGAAAACTGTCCTCACCAGATGATCTGCATTTTAATATGGCTTTAGGACAAAAGGACACCTATGTCATCTGGGCTGTTGAACTCTAACATTTCATGCAAGGGTGGAGAGTCCAGACAGGGGGTATATCTATGAAGAACCCTAAAACCAAACCCATTGCCATCGAGTCGATTCTGACTCATAGCGACCCTACAGGACATAGTAGAACTGCCCCATAGGGTTTCCAAGAAGTGGTTGGTGGATTTGAATGGCCAACATTTTGGTTAGCAGCCGAGTTCCCAACCACTGTGCCACGGGGCCCCTAAATTCTCCCAGGGCTCGGTTACCACCCCTGCTTTGGGTCAGCCCTGTCTTTGCCAATACTGTGCACACCCCACCCAGGGGGTCTGGGCTGAGGAGGGCACCAAAACCAAAACCCTTTGCTGTCAAGCCAATCCCAACTCATAGCAACTCCATAGAACAGAGTAGAACTGTCCTATAGGGTTTTCAAGGCTGTAATCTAACAGAAGCAGACGGCTATGTCTTTCTCTCCTGGAGCTGCTGGTGGGTTCCAGCTACTGACTTCTCAGCAGCTGAGCGCTTAACCACTGCTCCACCAGGGCACCTGAGGAGGGGACAGGCAGGGGTTTTAAAATCTAATTTTAAACCCACACTTCTAAACGGTAGATCTGCAAACTTGGGCTTGTTTTGAGTCTTTTTTTATTGACTCCTGTCTGTCCTCTCTTTGGCCTACCTACTCCACTCTTGCTGTTCATCCTCCCCTGTCCCCATCTCTGTTCCATTGCACCCTCCCTCCCTCTCAATAAGGTCCATCCCTTACCCCTGCGGCGCTAGCTCTGCTGCTCCTGCCCTGGAGCTTGTCCCTGCTGTCCCTTTCTGTGGGGGCAGTCACAACACTTCCTGCTTTTCCACAGACCGGCTTTCCCCCTTTGTCCTCCGCTCCTGTCCAGTGGCTGCCAAAGCCCTCATGAATCCTTCCTTCCCTCCAGCTTACTCCGCCCCCAGGTTCCTCAGAAAAAAAGACCCTAAACCGCCCTCCCCTCTGCCCATGTCCCCAGACCTTGAGCAACCCCCTCCAAGTCCTTCCAGAAGCAGGGCTGGAAGTAGGGGGAGGGGACGTTGCAGAGTTGACCCCACAGATGGCCACCTCCTCACCTTGGCCAGCCCCCTCCCCGCTAACCCCATGGGGTGGGGAAGGAGTGAGTGCAGGAAGGGCAGAAGTCCCAATCTCACCTACGACCTTCAGTTTAGTGCCCGGGCCGAAGTGCCGCTCGTAAGAGCACAGGGGCACAGCCTGGTGTGCAAACCAGCGTGCAAACCCCCGCACACCCCTCCCGCAGCGTCCCCCCCCCTTTCCCCCAGCAGCAGCTCCCACTCCCGGGACCCCAGCCTGGGTCTCCCAGCCCAAGGCAGGAGAGGGACCAGGGTGTCCATACCCCGGAGCGGCCCCCCTGCCCCTCTGCCTCCCCCCCCCGTCCCCAGCGGCTCAGGCCCCAGGTCAGCGCTGCTGGGGCTCCCCGAAAAGCCGTCCTGGGCCGCCCCGCGCTCACCCAGCACGGTCAGCCGGGTGCCTCCGCCGAAGGTCGGAGCTTCTGCTCACGGCCCGCGGGCCCGGTGCAAAAACTTGGACAGGCCGTCGCTCACCCAGGGGCTGGAGGCTGCGGTCCCCGCCATCGCCCCCCACCCTTCCTCAGGACCTTGAGCCCCTGTCTGTCCCTCCAGTCCGCTCACCCAGCACGGTTAGTCGTGTCCCCTCTCCGAAGTACTGGGGGTCTGTGCCCACAGCCTCCGAGCCCGGGACAAAAACCGGGCGCGTTTGCCCCTCTGTCCGGACTCTGCCCTGGTCTCCAGAGCCTGGGCGCCCCTCGCCCCCCGAGCCGGGGACCCGAGTCCTGCGCCGCCCCCAGCGCAGCCCCGAGCGATCGGGCTGCTGCCCCTTCTGTCCACCTGCCCGCGGAGCGCCCGGCACCCCCCGGCACTCTCCTTACACAGCACGGTCAACTTGCTCCCCTCTCCAAAATGGAGTTGCGAGGAGGTGCTCTCACAGCCCCGGGGCACGCGGCGCAAACCGCCGCCCAGAGCGGCGCTTCTGCCCCAGCTCTTTGCCTGGAAGCCCCCTCAGGGCTGGGCCTCAGGGGTCGTCCAGGCGGAGCAGTCCCGGCACTTGGAGCGTAGTCTTACCTACCACGGTGAGCCGGGTCCCCTGCCCGAAGTACTGCTCATTGTAGCACAGTGGGAAGGGGCGCCAAGAATTCTCCCTTCCCCGCCCCTGCCGCATCCGCATTTCTCGCAGCCCGGGGGGCTATCCTGCCTCTTCCTCTTCTCCTTCAGGGGCTTCCCTTCCCCCTCCAGAATGAGGTGGACAGAGCCATCTGGACATCCCGTGAGGTCACCCTCATTTGCAAGGAGAGGCAGCTTGGCTTGGGGACAAGGAGCTGAACCTGAAATCTGAAATCCGAGGGGCACTGTGGGTGCTGGGGGCAGGGTTCGAGTGAGAGGTGCTCCAGGCTGACTGTCCCCTTACTCCTTATCCAACGTGTGACCACTTTGGCCTCAGTTTCCTTGCCTGGAAAACTGGGGTACCATCTTCGTCCCACTCACTTTGGACATGTTATCAGGAGGGACCCGTCTCTGTAGGACATCATGCGTGCTAAAGCAGAGGGTCAGCGAAAAAGCGGAAGACCCTCAACGGGATGGATTGACACAGTGGCTGCAAGATGGGCTCACACACACCTACAGTTGGAAGACGCAGGATGGGGCAAGGTTTCCTTCTGTTACACACAAGGTCCCTATGAGTCGGACCCACTTGATGGCACCTACTAACAACATCTTCCTCGTGGGTTGTTGTGAGTTCCTAATGAGCACAGCGTGGTCGAGTGCTTGGTCAGGGGGGAGTTTTACTAGAAAGGGTGGTGCTGGGTCCACGTTCGCGCCCCAACCTGGTCTAAAGAGGGAGAGTCGGGGGCCGGCCTTTTTCCCGTGGGGGGGCCAGCTGCAGGCCCCCCAGTCACTCCTTGTCTAGGAGCCGCACCCCCTGTGCTGGTAGGGTATTTCTCACGCAGGGCTTTTTGTAAAAGCTCCTCCTTTACCTGAATCAGCGTGCTACCCCCAAGTCCCCACAATGTTCCACCGTGGAACAAAAATGCCGCCTCCCCCTCCCCCTCCCCCTCCCCCTCCCCCTGGGCAGGGGCAGGAAGCACAAGTGGCAGGGGCTGGTGTAACTGAGGGGCCAGGAAGAGACAAGGGGGGGGGGATTTAAAGTGGGAGGGGCTGGGGGCAGAGAGGCCCCTCCTGGCACACACATCACCCAGAGGAGACCACCTCTGTCGGCGGGCCTCCCTGCTGGGGAGGTGCCTGAGCCCTGGGCCCTGGTGCAGACTGGCATTTATAGAGTGGCAGGTGGGAGGGGTGAGGGGGGGAGGGCAGCTTGACAGCAAACCCACAGAGCAGGTGACAGCGACCTTCAGCCGAGGACAAACCTCCAGAAACGTCTGTGATCCCCCATTACATTCTGAGCAAAGCCTGGTCATTCATTCATTCATTCATTCACTCCACCATATCTGATGGATACCTACTGTGTGCCCAGCCCTATGCTAGCTTCAGGGGTTTGAGCCCATCCCCAGGGGACACCCACTGCCTTTCCAGCTTCATTTGGGGATCCTCCTGTCTCCGAATCTGGCCCTAGCAACAAGCACCTGGCCTTGTCTTTGGGATTTTCACTCATGCCTCTGACTGGCCAGTCCCCTTTCCTGGGTGGACAACTGGGACCAAGTTTTCCTTGTCATCTCCGTGGGCTCTCCCCCCTTTTCCCTGCTGGAAGTGGGGAGCTGGCCTCTGACTCTGAGTGTGTGTGTTTAATAGATTCTGAGGTTTACAGAATAATTGTGCAGGGAGAACAGAGTTCCCACATGCCCCTTACCTCCCCATACAGGGCTTCTGTTACTGATGTCTTGCATCTTTGTGGCTCAGTTGTTACAAACGATGACCCAATGGCTATGCTGTTATCAACCAAAGTCTGTAGTTTACATTAGGGTTCATCATTCTTCCTATTTATGGTTCTGTGGATTTTGACAAACGCATCATGTCATGTGTCCCGGTTACAACATCATGCAGAATAGTCTCACTGCCCTAAAAATGCCCCGTGCACCACCTAGCCACCCCTCCCCCCACTCCTGCACCCCTGGCAACCACAGATCTTTTCACTGTCTCTACACTTTTGCCTTTTCCAGAATTTTGACTGCCTGTAAAGACAGCTCACTGCTATTTCAAGGCACAGCCTTGTACTTCAGCTATTTCTGTCCATGCCTTCTCCCCACTATCAACAGGTAAACTTCTTGGGGACTGTGACTTGCACATCTTTGTCTTCTTGAAGGTCAATGGCAACACATTGGGATGGCACGTCCTCAATGGCTCTGTGTGTGTGTGTGTGTTCGTTGGAGTGTGGACATAAACGTATATATTTGAATGCACGTGTGCCCTGGCTGGGTGGTGGAGTCCTACAAGTGGAAGGGCAGAGGGCTACTTCGAGGAGGTCTCAGGGGGTCACTGCTCCTGAGGTAGGTCACCTTGTTTCACTCATTTATTCAAAGATAATTTATTGAGTACCTGTGCTGAACCAAGGCAGCATGTTGTATGCCGGGGGTGCTATGATCAAACACACCCTGTTATCAAGGAGCCCACGGTCGAGTGGGGGTGTCAGGCAGGTAAAGAGGTCATGTCCACCACGTGTGATGACAGTCGTGAAGGAGGGGTGCACAGGGCTTTGTGACAGCAAAACAAAGGGGCATCCGGTCCAACCTTAGGGGGAAGGGGCAGGAAGGGCCAGGGGAGGCTCCTTGGAAGGAGGGTGTCTGAGCTGAGTCTGGAAGGACAGACAGGCGTTCCCCAGGAAGAAGGGTATGGTGTCATTCCAGGAGGGGTAGCAGGTCAAGGGGCTTGAAAGCAGGCTGCTTGGGGAGGGGGTGAGGTGGGTGCAGAGATGAGGTGTGGTCAGCCAGAGGCCTTAGGTGCTCTCCCGAGGATTTGGAGTGCATCACCATGATGATAACCAGGTGATGGACGCTACAGAGAGAGGGCTGATTCTCGGCATGAGGGAGCTTCATGTCCTACGCCTCTAGGAGTGGACAGGGCTTTTCCACGCCTGTTCAGTTCATGAGGGAGAGATTCTGTAACTTCAACTGGGAGACACAGCTGCCCTTGAGAACGAACTTCCCAGGTAGTGCATTTTCTGCCCCTCGCTACCTGCCTGGGGCACTGTGGAGACAAAGGTGCCCTTGGTGACAGAGCTGCAGGAAGGGGGTGAGTTGCAGGAGACTAGTTCCATTCACCCACAGACATGCGGGTCAGTGGGACACACCTCTGCCAGCTCTCCCTCAGAGCCCCTTCATGCCGGGCTGGACATAGACCCCTGTCTGACATCCTGCTTCTCTAGGCTGTTCCACAGCAGCCCTCCTCAGTTCCCATCACCACCTTGCACGCTTTATTAACCTTCCTGAGCAGGAGGAACAGTGCCAGTCACGAGGGGCCAGTCCCCTACTCTGTGAATACCTCAGGACCCTCTCCTGGTGAGCAGGGAGGTAACAGGGGGTTCGGGGAAGGGCGGAGGGGAAATGAGACACTCGTAGGCAGCGCCAAGCAGGCTGTGTTTATTGGTTTGGTCCACGGGGGTTCAGGCTTGCTAGGGCCCCCCGGGGTAGGGGGTCTCGGCCTTGCATGTCTAGGGGTGTGTGCACTAGGAGGGTACCAGCATGAGTGGGGACGTGAGGACTGCTCCTCTGAGCACTGGCTGGGGGTGGGGGGCGAGGGGCCTGTTAGACATGACGAAGGGCCAGAAGCTCCTGGCTCCCCTCCAGGGCTGCTTTCAGGACTCCTTCTTCTTGGCCTGAAGAAGAGAAGGTTTTGAGGTTACCAGGAGCCAGGAGAGGTGGGGGTTGAGAGGACATAGGATGTTCTGACAGCATCCATTTGGTTTCCGGGGGTCCCAGCTTCCCCTTCCCCAGCCGCCCCCCATGATCCCACAGGAAGTTGTCTCTGAGCTTCCCAAGCACGTAGGTGACCCCCTCTACTGCCCGCCTTACCATGGCCATCAGCACGAGGGCGCTGACCAGCACGGCGTACAGGGCCGCTTTCCCCAGCAGGACCTCGTAGAGGACAGTGGCCGACAGGACCCCCCGCTGGTAGGAAACTGGGCGGGGGGCAGCCTGTGAACAGGTGGCTCTGGCCCCCAACTCCACCCCAGTGCCCCCAGGTTCCCCAGGCACCGTCCAGCGCACAGACATGGGAGGCTGGGAGAGGGGCTCACTTACCCGAGGAGAGGCCACAGTCTGAAAGGGAAGGGGGGATGGCTGAGAGGCTGCCCTTTCCCAGGAGAACAAAGCCCGGCTGCCTGCAGGCCACCGATGCCCAGGCCACAGCACGGGCCAGCCCTGGCCGCCCTGTCCCTCCTGTCCTGCTCTCACCTGCACGGCCCCAGACCACGGCACTGACGTTCTGGGTGACGGGCTTGGGCCGGGTCTCTCCCCACTCGTCGTCGGCCGAGAGCCCATAGAACTGGACCTGGCAGCGGAAGTGGTTGCGGGGATTGTGCCAGAAGGCGGCCGACACTCTCAGGCGGCTGCTCAGGCAGTAGCTGGAGTTATCGGCGCTGGGCTCCAGCCGCGGCTCGGGGGCCGTGCTGACCCCGCTGAGGGCCATCTTGCCATTCACCCACCAGCTCAGCTCCACGTGGTCGGGGTAGAAGCCGGTGGCTAGGCACACGAGCGTGGCCTTCTGGGTTCGGGAGATCTCGACCTCTGAGGGCTCAAACACGGCCACCTTGGGCGGGTTCACCTTGGTCAGGTTGTCTGCAGGGGGAGGGGCAGGGCTGCTCAGCGAGCGGTGTGGGCTCTGGGGCAAGCAGAGGCCACGTGTGTGTGCACGTGTGCGTGTGTGTGTGTGAGTGTGTGTATGTATGCGTGTCCATGTGAGTGTGTGAGTGTGTGTATCAGAGTGTGTGTAAGGGAGGGGGACGGGTCATGTCCCACACAGTGACCCAGCAGCAGGTCCCGTCTGTCTGGGATCGCAGTCCCTGTCCTGTGTTGTTGCTCTTTTTCCTTTGCCCACTTCTGTCGGACACCCCGGACACACTGCCCATCTCTTCCCGTCTCCTCAAGGCAATGTCATGTCCTGATTTCTGGTATCTCTGCAAAGCCTCTCCCCCGGGGGCTCGTGTGATTATCTGTGGTGAATGGGCCTGTCTGCCTGCCTTCCTGCTCAAGGCCGTGTTCTGCACATTGCTGTCTAAGCTTTAAGGCTTCCACACGGTGGGGTGCAGTTGGCGTGCATGCAGGGATCTGGAGTCAGGGACTCCCGCTAGCAACATGAGCCTGGAAACAAAATCAATCTTTGCTAATGACCATTTTCCTTTTTCAAGGCGTATACATTTGTCTATTTTGGTGATGCCCTATCTTAGAATAGGCCCTTCTTCCTAAAAGAGACACTCTTCCCACCGCACCTGATTACATTTGCTCTATATCCTCTACCCAATTTAATGGGCCTTGAGCAGTCTGGTGCCCCTGGCCGTTGGTCATCTGGTGGTGCCCGTTGGCTTCTACTCTGGTGTACGTGGGGCGTGTGGATACCCGCCTGGGACGACTGTGACCCGTGGAAGATGCTGGTGCTGGGTTGACCCTGTCTCCTCCCACAGCCCATCAAGCCACCCCACTGGCTTTGGGATCAAGTTCGCAGCCACGTGGTCAGAGCGTGTTTGTGGGTTGCAGAGATCCCGAGCCCCAGGACCGTTTTAGCTGAGGGCCACGGGCCTTCCACATGCCTGATGGATGGGAGAGGATGAATTTCTGGAATTGTTGGGAAGTGCGTCCTCATCGGAAGACATGGGGAGGCAGAACCACACCCATCATTCCGGCACACACCCCTTGGCCAGAATTTGCTTTGCCTCCTTGGCTCTGTTTTGGCTACGGGAGCAAGTTTTTGGAGCAGGAATGTGGCAAACCAGACATCTCCACAGAAGGTCACAGCGTCAAAAAAGCTATGGCGCAGTTCTACTCTGCACACACGGGGTCATCCTGAGTCCAAACAACAAGAACCTTCACAGAGAGTTCGCGCTAGTTCTCCTGTGACGATCGAACACCCCAGAGACGGTATTGTCCTTCCACTGCGTGCATCCCAGACAGCCTGGAGCAGTGAAGCCCCCTTCCCAAATCACACAGGGCTCCTGACTCCCTTGGATATGCGCTTTCTATTACACTTCCCGTGCCTGCCGCCCACGCGGAGAACAGAGCCTGGGGGCCCATGGGGCTGTTTCTCAGGTCATGCGGGGTCTCTCCAGCCCCAACCCCACCTCATCTCCCCCGACTCCTCCTGCCTGCCCACGTCCTGTCAGCCCAGAGCTGGCTCCTTACCCCCAGGAGCAGACCCTGGGGTTTGGGAAACGTGTCTTCTTTGTAGCGGGTTTGCTGCTGAGCTAATGTGGGTTTCCAGTTGTAACGGTGCTTTCAGATCCCTCTTCCTGGTATCTACCGAGTCCAGTGTACCCCAGACCACCTGCCGCCCTGAGATGCCATGACAGACTTCTGCCTCCTGGCACCCACATACCACCCCCATGTCACCAACCTGCCCCCGACCACCTCGTGGTCCTGCCGGCTGCCACAACACCAAAATTAAAACAAAAACAACAAAAAAAAAACCAAACCTGTTGCTGTGAAGCAGAGTCTGACTCCTAGCGACCCTACAGGACAGAGGCGAGCTGTCCCATAGGGTTTCCAAGGAGTGGCTGGTGGATTTGAACTGCCGACCTTTTGGTTAACAGCTGCGCTCTTACCCACTGCGCCACCAGGGCTCCCAGCCTCAGGGAGGTGAGACTGGGGCTTAGGAGACAAGAAGAGACTGAGGAAGAAAGAAGAGACAGCAGGAGCCAGGTTCCGAGCCGGCGGCGGGGCTGAGAAGGGCTTTAAGGGAAGATGGAGCAGTCACCGGAAAGGCGCCAAGGGTGCAGAATGGACATAAGAATGGGGGGAAAATATGCAGGAGATCAGAAAGAGGAGAGAGAAAGTCAGCTAAAAAGTAGAGGCGAGCGAGTAGGGAAGCCGGCGGCCCTGAAGCCCAGCGAGGCACCAGCACCAGCTCGTGAGGCTCCGGAAGGTCGGAGGAGGGGGGGCTCCCTGTGGCCAGGGCGGCCCTGACCTCCCGCCTCACACCCAGCACCCCTCCAGGACTGTTCATTGTGCCCCCGTCCCACTCCGGTCAGGAGGGAGCCCGTACCTGTCACAGTGAGCCTGGTGCCCTGCCCGAAGTAGAGGGGCGAGTTATTGGACACGGCCTAGGACAGCCATGGTAAAACCCACTGGGGGCCTCCCGGGGCAGGCTCAGCAAACCTGGGACCCCCGGAGAGCTGGAGTCAGAGGTGTGGACCAGGAGAAAGGCCTGAGCGTTCAGCAGGGACAGCGGGAACAGAGGCGACGGAAGGAGAAGCTCTGGAGGGCAGAGTTGAACCCTCAGTGGAAGGACGGACCAGGAGAGCAGAAAGGCCGATTACATGAAGACTCAGAGGAGAGAGACGGAGAGAGGACTCACTCCTGCTACCCACACCGAGGGTGGCAGACGAGCCCCATGGGCCCCATAGGGACAAGAGTGACCGCTCAACACCCTTCCACCAGAGGCCAAGATTTGGCTCCAAGGGACCCCGCCTGCCACCCCTGAGCTAAGCCTCACCTAGGACAGAGAGCCGCGTCCCCTCTCCAAAGTGCTGCGCCTGGTTGCCACACAGCATAGCACCCTGTGGCAAACCCAGCTCAGCAGCTGCCTCTTTCCTCAGCTCCGGGGCCAGCCACACGCCCACTGCCCCACACCCAGGCCCTTCCTCAGCTCCTTCCTCAGCTCCGGGGCCAGCCACAGACCCACTGCCCCACACCCAGGCCCTTCCTCAGCT